GGCCAGGGGCTTGAGGGGCCAAGAGTTGTGAGAGAGGCCTGCCAAGAAACTGTCTCAACTGAAAAACTGAATCTGGAGTTGTTCCTGCTATTGAATTTTAACTTGTTATGTCCCTAATAAATCCCTTAACTGTGATTATAATCTTTTGAGTTGTGTGTAGCCAGCGCAAAGAATTATTGAACCTAGGAGCGTTGGTAGCGTAGTGCCTAAGGCACTTGACTGCTAACCAGAAGGCTAGTGGTTCAAATCCACTAGCCACTCCTTGGAAGCAAGATGGGGCAATCTACTTCCATAGTGATACTGCCTCGGAAACCCAAGGAGGGGTCGCTATGAGTCAGGTCCGACTCCATGGCACATAACAACAACAACAAGTAGAGGTGTAGAGAATGCCGTGGGAGAGACAGCTGGTATCAGAATTGGTAAAAAGGTTGGAGGGTGGAGATATGTCTGACCTGTCTCATGGGAATCAGCCTTGGGTTGATGATCTTGATTCTCATCCTTTCCCTTGTAAATGCAGAGGAGGTCTGATGCAACCACACCATTTTTACTGTGCTCATTGGGATGTCATTAATATTTGCTCTAAGGCAAGGTGATGTTGTTACAGTAACAGGGATGGAAGAGTTCCTGGGTGGTCCAAATGGTTAATGCACTAAGCTGCTAACTGAAAGGTTGGTGCTTCAAGGTCACCCAGAGGCACCTCAGAAGAAAGGCCTGGTGATCTACTTCCTAAAAATCAGCAACTGAAAACCTTACGGAGCATAATTTTACTTGCACATAAGGTCATTTTGAGTTAGAACTGACTCAACAGCAACTTTTTTTTTTTTTTGGCAGGGGTTTGGGGAGTAGAGTAGTAAGTAGCATCTGTAGATGTTCTGTGTGCCAGTTTACACATAAAATTTCAATTAATCCTCAAAATCACTCCTAGAAGTAGTCATCATTAATCCCATTTAGCAGGTAAGGAAAGTGAGGTTCAGCAAGGCTTGCCTATAACCTGCCTAAAGCCACGAAGTTAATACGTGCCTGAGTAGGTATCAGAAGACATGCCAGTCAGTCTTTGCTAAGCCAAGTGTGAGGGAAGGGAACTGTAACTTAGAGAGGAGGAGGAGGAAGTCTTAATCACTATGGAGAATATGCTGGTGAGACTGTAAAAAGTCATTATGCCATGAAATGTTAGATCACTTCATGCATTGAAGACATTTTACAACATCTTCTACTATATAGGCAATTTTGGGTTATCTAAAGAGGCAGTCACCCACCAGCCACTCCTCGGAAGGAAGGTTGGGCAATCCTACTTCCGTAGTGATACTGCCTCGGAAACCCAAGGAAGGGTCGCTATGAGTCGGGTTTGACTCGAGGGCACATAACAACAACAAAAGAGGCAGTCAAAGCTGCAGCACAGCAGTAAAACAATTGTACATTATCTGGCCTCTTTCACTCAGCATAATGTTTCCAAAGATTGTCCATTATTGTAGAATGGATTAGCATTTCATTTCTTTTTTACAGCTGAATAATACCCCATTGTATGGTTCTACCACATTTTCTTGATCCACTCATCAGCTGATGGACATTGGGTTGTTTCCAGTCTTTCGCTATTATGAGTAATGCTTCTATGAACATTTGTGTAGAGTTTGCGTAGACATACCTTCATTTCTCTTGGGTATATATTAAGGAGTGGTATTTCTGGCTCTTACGATAGCTTAACAATAGTTAAACAATTTGAGGAAATGCCTCACATTTTCCAAATGTGGCTGAATTTTACGCCATCTTTTATAAAGAAAATAAACTACCCAAAATAAGTAATATTGGGCAGTAAATTTTGGGTTACCTTGAAGATTCAGTTTCCTCTTACGTATGGGAGGGTGAGGAAAACTGACCATCTTTAAAAGACTTACAGAAGTAATAGTGACTTACATATATACATCTATGCCCTTGTATTTAGGACCTAATAATGCTTGGCACACAGCAGGTGTTCAGCATATGTGGAATTGGCCAGTAAGTAGGAAGGAGAAGGAAAGGCAAAAAATGAACTCTACAATTTTTTTTTAACTAGTTTACCTATTTCTCAGGAGCTCTGGTAGCATAGTGCCTAAGGCACTTGACTGCTAACCAGAAGGTTGGTGGTTCAAACCCGCCAGCCACTCCTCAGAAGGAAGTTTGGGAAATCTATTTCCGTAGTGATACTGCCTTGGAAACCCAAGGAGGGGTTGCTATGAGTTGGGTCTGACTTGACGGCACATAACAACAACAACATACCTATTTCTCAGCATGCTTCTTAAGAAAGACTTTAAATCTCTCTGCCCTTTTTAAAAAAGAGAAAAACACCAACAAATATTATATATAAACACTTAAGAAGCAATCAAACCCAATTACATATACCACCCAATCTAAACCTACTGCTGTTGACAATTCCAATTCACAGTGATTCTATTGCATAGAGTAGAACTGCCCCATAGGTTTCCAAAGGCTGTATATCCTTATGGACACAGACTGCTACATCTTTCTCCTGCAGAGCAGCTGGTGGGTTTTTAAATGTCAGCCTTTTGATTAACAGCCTAGTGCTTCAACCACTGCGCTACAAGGGCTCCATGTATACCACAGGGGGGTCATAAAGAAGAAATGAGACGCATCATTTGAGGAGAATTTCTGGCTCAACTGAACATCTCCCCTACTGAGATTTCTTTATGTTTGTTTTAGCTCAAGCTAGCCATAAATAAACTTTAGTATTCAAGAAAATGCTATTAAAGAATCTCAGGGTATAGCAATATAGTCTGTAAATTTGGATTCTATCAAGTAAAGAGATACTCAGAATAACCTAGCAACCAGGAGAAAGAGAACAGTATGCAGTGAGCAGATGGCAAGATGCACATCAACAGATCCTCCATCATCCACAGGCCATCACTGTAAATATACTGGTACACTTTCCTCTAGGTTTTTACCTAGGCCATTTTAAGAGAGATCTGGGGAAAAGTCTTTTATCTGAACCTGAATCCCCTTAGTCTACAGCTGTGTAATGTTTTTTCACCTTCATATGGTATAATGGTCTTTAAAAAAAATAAAAATTTATTTTTTGTCAGCTAAGGGCTTGCCAATTTTATTGAATTTGTCAAAAAATCACCTTCTGGATTCAATTATTTCCCTTCTTGTTCTATTCTCTATTTCATTATCTCTGCTCTGCTCTTTGTTATTTTCATCCTTTTGGTTGAGTGTGCTTTGCTCTTCTTTTTCTAAATTCATGCTGTAAAGTTAGGTTACTGATTTATGATCTTTTTTCCTTTCTAATCTAGAAGTTTATAGCTATAGCTTTCCCTCTGAGTGCTGATTTTGCTGCGTCCTATAAGTTTGGATATGTCATACTTTCATTTTCATTTGATTCTTAAGTATTTCCTGTTTTCCTCTGTGATTTCTTCCTAGACTTATTGGTTGTTTAATAGTGTGTTAATTTTCATGTACCTCTTCAGTTTTCTTTCTCTTACTAATTTCTAATTTTACCCCATGATTATCTTTTGATGTAGGTAGACTACAGTTCCAGGTTATTAAATCAAACACTAATCTAGGTGGTGTTGTGAAGATATTTTGTAGATGTTATTGAAGTCCACAATTAGTTCACTTGAAGTAAGGGACACCATCCTAGATAACCTGAGTGGGCCTGATCTAATCAGTTGAGAGGCTTTAAAGTATAGAGCAGAGTTCCCCTGAAGAAATTTCACTTGCAGACAACAGTGTTATTCTGTGCCTAAGAGTTTCTGCTGGCTCTTCTTGACAGCTTAGCCTACAGATTTTGTCCTTGTTCAGCCAGCCCCCATTACTGTGCAAGCCAGTTCCTTGCAATAAATTTCTTAATATAGATCTACTAGTTCTACTAGTATCAACTCTGACTTGATACCCATGGGAAAGGAGTAGTATCACTACTGTTCTCAAAGTAAGTAGTGCCCTAGGATGCTGCATTCTTTTTTATGACTATATCATTGTATGGAAGAACAATTAGCATGCCAACCTCAAACTTTTCCTAAAGGTCTAAATTAGGAACCCAACCCCTCTAAAAAAAAAAAGCCCTGGAATAAGTTATTTTAGTGAGTTAGAACATTAAAAAAAAAAAAAAAAGAAATCAGGGTATCTTACATATGGGAAGCATTGGCCAAGGTCAAGACATGTCCTTAAACCCTTGGTTCCACAGTGCATATATTTCCAGCCATGTGGAACTATATACTTCAAGGCTATATAGGAAAATCCTAGTAGAGGCCAACTGAACACACTCCATTCTCTGAGGATCCTTAGGACCATTTGAACACTTAAGAAGTTTTTTCTATTAGACACAAGGTAAAGAAAACAAGTATTATAGTTCACTAAGAATAAGGCACACAATTTGACCAGTTTCAGTCCATTCTAAAATTTACATCTTATGGCATTTAGGGTTGGGCCCAGAGAGGAAATAACCTCTTAATTTTGACAAGCCCTAACTACAAAAACGGGAGCTCTGGTAGCATAGTGGCTAAGGCACTTGACTGCTAACCAGAAGGCTGGCGGTTCAAACCCACCAACCACTCCTCGGAAGGAAGGTTGGGCAATCCTACTTCCGTAGTGATACTGCCTCGGAAACCCAAGGAGGGGTCGCTATGAGTCAGGGCTGACTCAACGGCACATAACAACAACAACAACAACTACAAAAACACATGTATTTTGGTTTTATGTGAAACTGGAGAAAATTATTAATTACGCTGTGTAACTGATACTAAGTCTACTGAATAATGGTTCAAGGAAACTTCCAATCTGTTACTATAATGAGATTTAATATTTAACATGTTGTCAATGTTATGAAACCAGAGTAAGTTTCTGTTAAGTGGCATAAATGACTACTTATTCATTTCCTCCAATCACTTTACTGCTATGAAGCAGCTTTATCAACAGCTACTTTCTACCTATTTCATTTTGTAATATACTGGCCACAACTACAAGAAAATGGATACAAATTTCTCGCAGTAACTTTACATTACTGTACTTACTTGAGTTCTCTACTGAGAACTAAATTAATTCTATCTTTCAAAGGTCTATGCTTCTTGGGAATGGAGAACCAGGTCTTCCTACCCATAATCACCACATTCTGTTTACCTGTAAAATTAAAAGAAAGCATAAGTGCATTTCTGGGAAAAAATATATTTACGTATAATATATATGTGTATACATATGTATTACATATAGTAAAACCTGTGAAAGCTGGAACCTATGTAATATGGAAACCTCTCAGAGAAGAAAAACTCTATATTCCACTAATAGAGAGCTATAGAAAAGGGTTAGACTGCACCCTTTCAAAAGGAGCTCTAGTGGCATAATGCCTAAGGCATTCAAGCGCTAACCAGAAGGCTGGTAGTTCAAGCCCACCAGCCACTCCATATAAGGAAGACTGGGCAATCTACTTCCACAAACATTTACTGCCTCAGAAACCCAAAGGGGGTTACTGTGAGTGGGAATCTACTTGATGGCATTGAGTTTTGAGTTTGAGCACCCTTTCAAAGGTCGAAAACTCACAAGACCTGGAAAAACAAGGCAGTCCCATCAAGTTCCAGCTCTAACATGTTTCTCTAGATCATATGGATGTGTTTGTGTATAAAATTATGGTAGCATAGTGCCCTAAGGTACCTGACTGCTAGCCAGAAGGCTAGCGGTTTAAACCCACCAGCCACTCCTCGGAAGGAAGATGGGGCAATCTACTTCCATAGTGATACTGCCTCGGAAACCCAAGGAGGGGTCACTATGAGTTGGGTCCAACTCAACGGCACTTAAGAACAACAATATGCATGTATAAGAAACTCTGGTGGCATAGTACCTAAGGCACTTAATTGCTAACCAGAAGGCTGGCAGTTCAAACCCACCAGCTACTCCTTGGAAGGAAGATTGGGCAATATACTTCTGTAGCGATATTGCCTCAGAAACCTAAGGAGGGGTTGCTATGAGTGGGATCCGATGATTTTTTTTTTTTTTTTTGTTATATGCATGTGTATGTATACGTACACAGAGAGAGAATAGTTCTGGTGATGCCGTGCCTAAGGCATTTGACTGTGAACCAGAAGGTTGGCAGTTCAGAGCCACCAGCCACTCTGCAGAAGCAAGACTGGGCAATCTACTTCTGTGAAGATTTACTGCCTCAGAAATCCAAAGGGGGTCACCACAAGTCAGAATTGACTCGATGGCTGTGAGTTTGGTTTTGGTTTTTTGGCTTACATAGAGGGTAAAATTGTTATAGTGACATCTAGTGGATCTCCTTTTTAAAAAAGATAAAATAGAGTTATCAAAATTTACATCTATTATTCATTAGCTAAATACTGTTGTTCATAGCTGCCAAATCAGTTGCAACTCAGGGCCATTCCATGTGTGCAGAATAGAACTGCTCCATAGGGTTTTAAGGCTGTAACTTTTTGGAAGGAGATAACCAGACCTGTCTTCTGAGTCACATCTCGGTGGGTCTGTCAGCCTTTCAGTGAACAGTGCAGTGCTCAATGGTTTGTGCCACCCAGGGATGTACCTTCCATTTTTCGTTTAATTACATAGGAGAAAAAAGACCCTGAGAGTCAGATATCAAAGGAACATAAACACTTCCTGAATATATCAATGATTTTTACTATAGTCTGAGAGACTACCAAAAGCAATACACAAGTGTTTTCTTAAAAATCACCAGCGTGTTTTAATTTATTTGAGCAAAACCCTAACTTTTTCCAAACTTCAAAGACTGAGCACTTTCCATATTTTGCTCTACTATTTATAACCAAAGGGAGCTCAGGTGGCATAGTGCCTAAGGTATCTGACTGCTAACCAGAAGGCTGGTGGTTCAAATCTACCAGCTACTCCTTGGAAACTCAAGGAGGGGTCGCTATGAGTCAGAATTGACTCTATGATAGTGAGTTTGGTTTTTTTTGTTTTACTCATAATCAAATGTTATTTCCAAATATGGGAATTTCCTGATACCTCTTATATGCATTGCACTTTCAATAGTGGAGCTTTAGGTGTTCAATAAGGAGAAATGAACTATGAACAAAAACAGAGCCAACTGGAGAGGGATTCTGATGAAGGAAATGATGCAGACTTGGCTTAAAAACTAAGGTGGAGACACTGCGTGAAAGACTTTCAGTGAATACTTTAGGGAGACAGTTAAAAAAAAATTACACACACACATAGATATAGAGAAATGACACTTTTGGTACTCTTTTATTCATCTAAGAAATACTGTTATTTACTGAAAACCAGGCAAACAGGTCAGGAACCGGATGTTTTGCATATTCCCAGACCATACTTAAGATTCTTTAGCTTCAGGAGCTTTCTACCTTGTCTGTACCAGTGTCTTAAGAGCCAAATCAGTGGGCCTTGTCTCTGCCCTGCTAAAGTTCTGCAGCATCTGTTGCAGGTACCTTCTCAGTTAAATCTGTTTCTTGTTGCAGTTTACAGATGCTTCTCAAGTTTTAAATGGGGTCTCCTTCCATTCCCACATTCTTTTCTTTGGTTATCTTGTTTCCTCCAGTGGCTGAATTCACATAGTTCCCTACGTCTGACATTATCCTGGATGTCTTACAAAACCTAAAGAAAACCCAAAGCTACTGTATCGATTCCAACCCTTTTTAGAACAGAGCAGAGCTGCCCCATAGGGTTTCCAAGCCTGTATATCTTTACGGAAGCAGATTGTCTCATCTTTGTCTTGTAGAGTGGCTGGTGAGTTTGGACTGCCAACCTTTGGTTAGCAATTGAATGCTTTAACCATTATGCCACCAGAGCTCCTCGCTACCGGGTACTTCAAAACTGTCATCAGAACAACTACACACTTTTTTCCATCCCTTTGTTTTCATGTCACTCAGACTCTTACACTGAAAACACAGGAGTTCATCCTTGATGCCTTCCTGCATCACCTTTAATTTTATGGAAGTTTCTTGGATTTCTGTCCTCTCTCTTCACTGCCCTCCTTCAGGCCTTGTCATCTCTTACAGGGGTTATTCCAAACGTTTTTTCTGGTTTTCTTTCCACTCTAAAATCCCTGGTTAGATAAGCCTCTACCCAGCTATAAACCCACATACAATTTCCCAGAAAAAAATGAAATTTGAATAAACTTTGGGAAGTATACACACATCAACGGTAAAGAAAGGTCCCATATTATATGCAAAACTTCTCATATAAATAAAATTTGCCCTGATAAACCTTCTCAACTAAGAACCTTGTCAACCTCAATCAGTTAAAACAACCCACATTACCGTCTACGGAAGAAGATGTGGTCGTGGTCATTCTTTGAAAATACTTGAATTCATTCCTACAAGTCAAAGAAACAAAGCATTATTCGGATTATTACCCCGTGGGCTCAAGATGTTATAAAGAGTGAGCTGGTGCAGGTGGGGGTGGGGTCTTCCTGGGCCGAAATTTGCAGTGTGCCTGGGCGCCGGGGCGAGGAGGCCTAGGTGTAGCACTATTGGGCGGAAACCAACAACAGCTCTCGGACTGGTTATTCTGAAGGAAGCACGAGCCCGCCTACCTGCTCAGGTCAAAAGTCCGGTCCCAACCTTCCCAGCCTCCACTGGCAATTTCGCCCGACTCGTCCCCACCGAGTGCCCTGATCACTGGCAGTCTGCCCCAGCCTGTTTCCCCAGCCCGGTAGGTACCTGAGCGGGGGCCAGGGTAGGTCTCCGTTCTTGCCGATGCCCATGTTCTGGGACACAGCGACGATACAGTTTAGCTGACGAACCATGACAGCAACAGCTAACACCTTCGAGCTAGCGCGGGACAAAGCTTGGCGCGAAATTGTGGCCACTCCGCCCCCTTCCTCCCAGTTGTGCAGGCGAGGCCCCGCCCCAGACCCGCCTCCCGCCCCGCCGCACGGCAGGGTCGCAACGTGCTCGCGACCGAGAACGCCCAGGAACTGAGGCCGCGGGCTCGCGCCCCTGGCTTGGCTGTATCGCTGGATTCCCTTTCTGGCTCCACTATGCCGCGCCGGAAGCTTGCTTCTGGCCGCACTGGGGCCTCAGGCCCAGCTCCTGCAAAGCAGGCTGTTTTGAGTAGATTCTTCCGATCTCAGGGAAGCTTGAAGTCCACCTCCTCCCCCGCCGTTGCAGCCGAGAAAGCCGACCCTGACGCTGCAGCGACCTCAGCATCTAATTTCTCATCTCATTTGCTGCCTCAATTGGTAAGTTCGGTCGCAGAGGGGGCGGGCCAAGTTTGGGGGCGGGGCCTGAAGGTCGGGGCGCGAGAGGGAGTGGACTAGGTGCTAGAATTAGCGAAAAGATGGGACCGGAAGAGAGAGAGGTGGGGCGAGGAACGGAAAAGGTGGTGTAGTTCAAAGTTTTAGTTTCCACTAGAGTTAGTAGATTTGAAGAGAGCTCTGTTGGTGTAGTGGTTAAAGCGCTTGGCTGGTAACCGATAGGTCAGGGATTCTTCTTTCATGAAGATTTTTGTTCTGATTCCTGGCGACTCCATCTACAACAGAAGGAAGCACTGCCGGTCCTGCACTATCCTCACAATCCTTGCTGTACTTGAGCCCGTCGTTGTAGACACTGTGTCAATCCATCAGGTTCAGGATCTTCTCCTTTTTCTGTGACCCTCCACTTTACCATGTATGATATCCTTCTCCAGGGACTAATCCCGTCTGACAACATGACCAAAGTAGGTGAGACAGATTCTGGCCATTCTTGCTTCTAAGGAGGATTCTGGTTGCACTTCTTCCCAGACAGATTTATTCCTTCTGGCAGCCCGTGGTATTTTCAGTACTCTTAAACAGCAGCACAATTCAAGGGTATTATCATCTCTTCCCTCTACCTTATTCATTGTCCAGCTTTTATATGCATAGGAGGCGATGAAAATACCACGGCCAGGGTAAACCAAGAGGAGCTCTGGTAGCGTAGTGCCTAAGGCACTGCTGCTAACCAGAAGGCTGGCGGTTCAAATCCACCAGCCACTCCTCGGAAGGAAGGTTGGGTAATCCTACTTCTGGTGATACTGCCTCGGAAACCCAAGGAGGGATTGCTATGAGTTGGGGACGACTTGATGGCACATAACAACAACAACAGGGTAAACCAAACCACTCACTGCCGTCGAGTTGCAGTGAGTCGGATCCGACTCAGCGACCCCTCCTTGGGTTTCTGAGGTGATATCACTACAGAAGTAGATTGCCCAACCTTCCTTCCGAGGAGTGGCTGGTGGGTTTGAACCGCCAACCTTATGGTTAGCAGTCAAATGCCTTAGGCACTATGCCACCAGAGCTCCCTTCTGGCTAGAGTAAGGCACACCTTATTCTTCAAAGTGGTATCTTTGCTGCTAAGACCTTAAAGATGGCCTTTGCAGTAGATTTGCCCAGTGCAGTACAACATTTGTTTTCTTGACTGCTAGTTCTATGGGTGTTGATTTTCGATCCAAATAAAATGAAGTCCCTGACAACTTCAATATTTTCTGCATTTATCGTGATGTTGCTTATTGGTCCAGTTGTGAGGATTTTGTTTTCTTTATGTTGAGGTGTAAGCCAGCATACATACTGATCTTTATCAGTTAGTACTTCAAGTCATCTTCACTTTCAGCAAGCGAGGTGGTTTCATCTACACATCTCGGGTTGTTAATACGCATTAACAACCCAAGATGTGTAGAGAGTCTTCCTCCAATCTTGATGCCATGTTCTTCTTCATATAGTCCTGCTTCTCGGGTTATTTGCTCAACATATAGATTGAATAAGTATGGTGAAAGGGTACAACCCTGACACACACTCTTCCTGATTTTAAACCATTCAGTATGCCCTTGATCTGTTTGAATGACAGCCTCTTGGTCTATGTACGAATTCCTCATGGGCACAATTAAGTGTTGTACAGTTCCCATTCTTCTTGACGTTATCCATAATTTGTTATGATCCACAGAGTCAAATATTTTTGCATAATCAATAAAACACAGGTAAATATCTTTCTGGTATTCCTTGCTTTCAACCAAGATATATCTGATAACAACAATGATATCCCTCATTCCATATCTTTTTCTGAATCCAACTTGATTTTCAGGAAGTTCCTTGTCAGTATACTGCTGCAACTGTTTTTGAATTATCTCCAGTACAATTTTACTTGTGTGTGATATTAATGATATAGTTTGATAATTTCCAATTCTGTTGGATCACCTTTCTTTGGAATGGGCACAAATATGGATCTCTTCCAGTTGGTTAGCCAGGTAGGTGTCTTCCAAATTTCTTGGCATAAAGGAGTAAGGGCCTCCAGCACTGCATCCGTTTTTTGAAACATCTCAATGAGTGGTCAGTTTCTGGAGCCTTGTTTTTTGCCAGTTCCTTCAGTGCAGTTTTGACTTCTTCCTTCAGTACCATTAGTTTCTGATCATATGTTATCTCCTGAAATGGTTGAATGTCGACCAGTTCTTTTTGGTACAGTGATTGTGAATTCCTTCCATCTTCTTTTGATGCTTCCTGCATCATTCAATATCTTGCCCATAGAATTCTTCAGTATTGCAATTTGAGGCTTGAGTTGTTTCTTCAGTTCTTTCAGCTTGAGAAATTATAGTGTGTTCTTCCCGTTTGGTTTTCTAACTCCAGGTCTTGGCACATTCCATTATAGTACTTTGTCTTTTTGAACTGCTCTTAGAAATCTTCTGTTCAGCTCTTTTATCTTGTCATTTCCTCCATTTGCTTTAGCTACTCTGTGTTCAAGAGCAAGTTTCAGAGACTCTTCTGACATCCATTTTGGTCTTCTTTTCCTGTGTTTTTAGTGATTGTGGTGGTTAAGTTTGTGTGTCAGCTTGGGTGGGCCTGGTTGAGTGGATGGGCAGCTGAATGTGTTTATTCTCCATGGTGAGATTAGTAATTAACTCCATGGTAGAATCTATTGGAGCAGCTGAGTAGCTGCTTTGGTTATGTGGTCTGCTTCCTGTATATAAGACAGCTTTGGGAATGGTCTCTAGCTTATGGCACACTTGAGCCCTGCATGTAGCCGAGTCACTGTTCAGCAGCCTGCCATGTTCTGCCAACCTTGGGACTTTGAATGGACTTGAATTAATGGCCTGCCATGTGGTTTGGTAACATCGGGACTGTGCCTTTTTACTCATCAGCCTTGGGCTTGTCAGCCTCAGCAGCCAGCAGCTATGTGAAGAAAAGCCTCCAGCTTCAGTGAACTGGGAGCAGGAGGCAAAGCTGAAGCCCAAGGTCGAGGGGCTTTCACCCAGCCCCTAGAGCCTGGCACTTTGAACTTGGGCTTAAAGCATCCAAACTGTAAGAGAATAAACTCCTGTTTCTTCAAGCCATCCCATTTGTGATATATTCCTGTCAGAGCAGCATTAGGTAACTGAAACAGTGACCTTTTGCTTTCTTCATTATGATGTTTTTCATGTCATCCCACAACTTGTCTGGTCTTTGGTCATTGATGTTCAGTGCATCAAATCTCTTCTACAGATGGTGTCTGAATTTGGGTGGGATATAATCAAGGTCATATTTTGGCTATCATGGACTTGTTTTAATTTTCTTCAGTTTCAACTTGAACTTGTATATGAGCACTTGATGGTCTGTTCCACAGTCAACTTCTGGCCTTATTTTGACTGATGATATGGAGGTACTTTTTCCACAGACGTAGTTGATTTTATTTCTGTGTATTCCTTCTGGCAAGATCCATGTGTACAGTCACCATTTATGTTGTTTTAAAAAGTTATTTGCACCGAATAAGTCGCTGATCTTTCAGAATTCTATCTTGCAGTCTGTGGTATCGTTCTTACCACCCAGGCCATATTTTCTGACTACTGATTCTTCTTCTTTGTTTCCAACATCTGCATTCCATTCACCAGTAGTTATCAATATATCTTGATTGCATGTTTGTCGAATTTCAGACTGCAGAAGTTGGTAAAAATCTTCAATTTCTTCATTTTTCGCTTTAGTGGTTGTTATGTAAATTTTAGTTGTAGTCATGTTGACTGGTCTTCCTTGTAAGCATATAGTTATTATCCTATCACTGACAGCATTGTACCTCAGGATAGATCTTGAAATGTTCTTTTTAACGATGACTGCAATGCCATTCTTCTTCAATTTGTCATTCCCGGTATAATAGACTATATGATTGTCTGATTCAAAATGGCCAGTACCAGTCCATTTCAGCTCACTGGTGCCTAGGGTATCAATCTTTATGCATTCCATGTCATTTTTGACAACTTCCAGTTTTTCTAGATTCATTCTTTGTATTTTCCATGTTCCAAATATTCATGAGTGTTTGCATCTTTTTTACTTATTTTGCATCATGCCACATCAGCAAATTAAGGTCCAGAAAACTTCACAGCATTCACATCGTTAAGGTCGACTCTACTTTGAGGAGGCAGCTCTTCCCCAGTTGTATTTTGAGTGCCTTCTGACCTGAAGGGCTTATCTTCCAGTACTATGCCAGACAGTGTTTTGCTGCTTTTCATAAAGCTTTCCAGTAATATATCAGATAGTGTTTCACTGCTATTCCTAAGTGTTCATTGGCCAGTTTTTTCAGAATTGGATGACCCTGTTCTTCCCAGTCTTTCTTAGTCTGGAAAGTCTACTGAAAACCTGTTCACCATGGATGACCCTGGTGATATTCAAAATACTGGTGGTATAGCCTCCAGCCTCACAGCAACAAGCAATCCTCCACTGTATGACAAACTGACAGGCAAGTGGTAGGGTAGCTGCCTTGGTTCAAGTTAATTCTAGGAGGAGATGAGGTGCTAAAGCTTTTGAACTGCCAGTTTCTGTCCTTTCTTTGGTAATGGTAGAAACAGTTCATCCATAGACCTTTTCAGAGCCAAGAATGCATAATTCTATGAAGGGTAAATGGTATGAACGTTGCTGTAATTCAGAAGTAGAGTTTAAACTACATACATCAAGTGTTGAGAATAGAGATGATACATTATTGTCTAACCATTATTTTCTGTGATTAGGCCACAGAAATTGACCGAAGTAAAAAAACAGCATTGGAGAATGATGGGCCTGTTAAAAAGAAGCCAAAGAAAGTCCCAGAAAAAGAAGGAGGAAGTGGTTTGGTAATGTCTGGCAACTCTGGTGAGTTCTGGGGCAATGATTCTTTATTCCTATCAGTCATGAGTCTGATATTTTTGCTCTTCCATAGAGCGGAGTAGACTGTTTGGAGAGCAATGTCATTTTTCGTGGTGGAGAAAGTTCCCACTGTGCTTGAGAGAAGTTGGCCCCCAGCAGGTAGTGGTGGTAGTGGGGGTGGGGATGGAGCTGGAGTTCTCCAGTTTGGCTCTCCTTCTTCAGACTCTCTTTTATTCCCTCTAGTTCATTTTTTTCCTGATTATAAAAGTAAAAAAACATCTTATTATAAAAATTTCAAATAATTCAGAAATGTAGAAGACAATGAAAGATCCCCATAATCCCTCTCTTAAGTGATACCTGCTGCTAATTTTTTTGGGTGCTCTGTTCTCCCAAGGAGCTCTGGTGGCACAGTGCCTAAGGCATGTGACTGCTAACCAGAAGGTTGGCAGTTCAAACCCACCAGTCACTCCATGGAAGGAAGATGGGGCAGTCTGCTTCTGTAAAGAGTAACCACCTCAGAAACCCAATGGGGGTCACTGTAAGTCGGAATCAACTCAGTGGCAATGGGTTTGGTTTTTGGTTTTGGTATGTTTTCCCAGGTTTTTTCTATTGGTACATACACAATGTATACACATATAGAAGCACAAGTTAATAGTTATTATATTTTATGAAGTAGTATGCTATATATATACATATATACATACATAGTACATACATGTGCCTGTACATATATATACCCACTGCCATCAAGTCAATTCTGACTCATAGCAACCCCCATTGAGTTTCCAAGGCTGTAAATCTTTATGGAAGTTAATTGCCTCATCTTCTGCGTGCAGAGCAGCTGGTGAGTTTGAACTGCCAACTTTCTGTTTAGCAGCCAAATGTCTCAGGCACTGTGCCACCAGAACTCACATATGTATATTTGTGTGTTGGAAGAAGTGCAGCTGTAATGTGCTTTGGAAGCAAGAATGGCCAGATTTTGTCTCACCTACTTTGGTCGTGTCAGAAGGGACCATTCCCTGGAGAAGGATATCATGCTTGATAAAGTGGAGGGTCAGTGAAAAAGGGGAAGGCCCTCAATGAGATAAATTGATGCAGTGGCTAGAATGATGGACTCAGATATATCTAGGATTGTGAGCCTGGCACAGGACTGGGCAGTGGTTTGTTCTGTTGTACATAGGGTCACTGAGTTGGAGCTGACTTGATGGCACCTGACAGTACAACACACTAATTTGCAGCTTTTTTTTTTCCCACTTAACAGAACATATAGAAAAATTATAAATGTCAGAACATATGGATTTCCCCTGTCCTGTTTTACATGGAGCTGCCCTTCCTATATGCTAAAAGGTGTTAGATAAAAACAGCATTCTTGAGCTCCTGAACGTCTGAAGGTGGTATTGGGTGTACATGTATTTGAGTGTGGATAATGAATGGATTTGCCTTATAGCTTTTGGCCTCAGAGAATTCATGATAAGGAAGACAGGAAATTTTTCTTTCTTCATTATCCCCTGGAAATTAGGTAGAGAGAATGATAGAAAAGCAAAATAAAAAGTCTCAGTGGATTAAGTATGTGAGAAATCTGTGCTTTATGTTAACAGGAAAGCCTTAGTAAGAAATAACTACAGAATTGGAATGTATAGCAATGGAAAAAGATAAATCTGAAAATACCCTTTTCTTCCTCCTTTCTGAAGCAAGTATGAAAGGGGGAGCGATTTATGGACAGAATTTGGCATGTATTAATGTTGCATTTTCTGGGGTTATTTACCTCTCCTTCCTTCATTATTCCTGGACAGACTTACCTGCTTAATTTTACAGTAAATTCTGTGAGCACTCAATGAGCACTCACCATTTGCTAGCCATTGTGTTAGAGGCTTTATGTAGTGCATTTATTCTTCAGTAGCCTCTGTCACCTTTTTTTACAGAGGAAGAGAAGGATGATGAGTGTAAAGAAGTATAGGTGAGAGCACTAACTTAATCAAGGTCACATGGGAGACCTGACATTAAAAGTTGTGGAAATAGATTGGCGGGGCAAGATGGCGGACTAGGCAGAAGGATTGCACAGACCCTCTTCAACAAAGAAAAGGGAAACCAATTAACACAGAC